CCTCTAGCAGGGAACTGGATTGGAATTGGAGCAGCCAGGCTACAAACCAGTGCCCATATCGATTTTGATGGTGCACGTGGCAGCTTTACCAGCTGTGCCACAATGCAGGCTGCAACTTAACATGCTTTTATGTATATTTAAGCTTGTTCTTATTTCTGAGTTGTTTGAATGGAAGCATAAGCATTTAGTATGGTAATTCTGTGTTGTCTGAGGATCTGTTTCTCCCCATGTGAGTACCTAGCACTTTTTCATGGCATGGCAGTCTCATAAGTCAGACTTCTTATGTAGCAGCTAGCTTCCCTCAGAGTAAGCATTTCAAGTGATAGAAAGTGGAAACAGTAAGTTTTAAACTGGCACTATGCTCCTTCTGCCATAATCTGTTGACCAAAGTACTTACAACAAAATTCACTCAGATTTAAGGAGAGGGGCATAGATCTCACCTCTTAACAAGAGTGTCTAAAAATTTTGGCTGTCTTTGTCACATCTATTGGCATTTTTCAGACATCTATTTAATGAATGCTATCATTTCAAATTTTTTGGCAAATATAAAACTTCTGTGGAATAAAATACTTTGGCCCTAGACTCTCCAAATTGTGATCTTTTTAAAAATGTGATCTTTGAGTGATTAGTCTTGTGGTTAGTAGAATTGTAGTCTTTGAAAAAATAATCTAAGCTATTGTGTTCCTTTGACCTGTGTTATCTGGTGTGTTGTTGGGTACAATGTCTTTAATAGTCAAATACCAGTCCAAATAGGCAAATGAATGTAGACGAAGAACCATTTAAACTTTAGTAAAACCCATAGAGGATATATAGCTACACATTGAAAGAAGACTGTGAGAGAACTGGGTCACAAATGTTTTCTAAGAGTGTTAAAATCATAGGTCATTCAGGTTTCAGTAAAAAGCATTACCATAGCAGAGGGGATTCTTACCAAACCTTAGGTAAAAATAGCATTACAATTCAAGACAAGTGGTCTCTGACTTTGAAAGAGACATATCCTTCCTGTTGGCATTACAAGGTTCCATTAATTATTTATTAGTTGATTGACTCCAAACCTGAGAGGACTGGCAATGGAGGCATTAAGTGACAATTCGAACCTAAGCAAATTGGAATTAGTTTTTGAGATTCAACTTCACAAATCTAGACAATCCATATAAATAATCAATTCACATGATCTAAATAAATGGAGATGTCAGTTATGTCAAATAGAACTCACAAATCATTATTTTCAAAAAAAAAAAGAAATAAAAACTGGCCAGGAAGTGCAAAGTAGGATCTCTCCTAAAATTTCTTAAAAGTGAGGCTGTGAGGTTTTTAGGCTGGCATCATGAAGGCATTTTTTTTTTTTTTTTTGGACAGGCAGAGTTAGAGAGTGAGAGAGAGAGAGACAGAGAGAAAGGTCTTCCTTCCATTGGTTCACCCCACAAATGGCCTCCACGGTCAGTGTGCTGTGCTGATCTGAAGCCAGGAGCCAGGTGCTTCCTCCTGGTCTCCCATGCAGGTGCAGGGCCCAAGCACTTGGGCCATCCTCCACTGCCTTCCCGGGCCACAGCAGAGAGCTGGACTAGAAGAGGAGCAACCGGGACAGAACCGGCGCCCCCACCGGGACTAGAACCCGGGGTGCCAGCGCCGCAGGCAGAGGATTAGCCTAGTGAGCCGTGGCACCGTCCTTTTTTTTTTTTTTTTAAACAGGCAGAGTTAGTAAGAGAGAGAGAGACAGAGAGAAAGAAATGCATTTCACAAGGGCTAGTGTAGCTGGATAATATTTTTATACTTGAACTCTTTCTTGATCAAGATATTCTGCGAAAATTTCTCCTATATTCAATTTGTGTTCTGTTTTTTCTTTTTTTAACTATCCTATCTAAATCATAGAGTTACAGTATGATGGGTAAGGAATCACAATGCAGCAATCAGAAATTAACTTCCAAACAAATCAATTTATTTTGAATTTTTAAACACCATAAACTGTATACCTATAACATTAACAGGCACTTCTTTTTTCTTTTTTTTTTAAGATTCTATTTATTTACTTGAGAGGTAGAGTTACAGACAGTAAGAGGGAGAGACATCTGCTGGTGTACTCCCTAAATGGCCACAATGGCTGTAGCTGTGCTGATTCGAAGGCAGGACCCAGGAGCTTCTTCCAGGTCTCCCACGTGGGTGCAGGGGCCCAAGTGCCTGGGCTGTCCTCTACTGCTTTCCCAGGCCATAGCAGAGAGCTGGATCAGAAGAGGAGCAGTCAGGACTAGACCCAGCGCCCATATGGGATGCCGGCACCACAGGCAGAGGCTTAACTTAGTGCGCCACAGCCCCAGCCCCAGACACTTCTTATAATCCTCTTTTATCTCTCATCCCTTCCCCTGTTTTCCACAGTTATTTCCATGTCCTTGTCTCCAAAGTCTTTATACATTCTTACCGAGTCCGTGCCATCTTGATCTCATCTTTTACACGTCCTATGTTTCTCTCAGCCCTCTAATATCATTTTATAATTAAAGAAAAGAACTGATATGGCAGTTCTGACCTATTCTGCTTTAGAGAGTTCCACATACTCCTCCTCAACTAACTTGGACTTTATAAGTGGAATGTAAACTAAGGAAAAGCAGAATGTTGATATTTTGGACAAAAAAGAGAAAGAGTTATACAAAAAGGAGAGAGGTAAACACAGTGTGCCTCTTCCCACCTCTAAAGCTCTGGGGCAGAGTCAGAAACAGGAAGTAAACAACATTTATGTTTTGAGAGAAATTAAGTGGGAGGACATCTTGTTTTCACTTCTTATCTGGAGAATTCTGAAGGAATCAGGCTCAACAGAATTACAAAACACAAAAAAGATGCATTCCATTTCCTGGTATTTTTTTCCACCATAATATTGATCTCATATTTAAATTTGTTTTTGAAAAAAGTTGTATTCATGTTTGCATTAATGTAAGTCAGAATGGGTTTGTTAACTCTTGACCTTTTGATCTTGTACTTGTACTTTTGGCTTCAGTATGGTTTTGTTTAGAAACATATAAAACATGTCCAGTCATATAATTTTGACTTTATAAGATGGTTAAACTGGGCAAGCAACCAACAATACCTTTTCTCTAGTTTTTGAACCTTCCAGACCCAACATAACCAACACCTTTTCTATCATGTATAACTTGTAGCACATTTTCTAATAAAGCAAAGACTTGGAACACCAGTCTAGGAGAGCCAGGGAAGTTAATTCGTAGTCTTAGGTGGTGGTGGGAAAAGAATCTGATACTATTCCCATTGTTGGGTACTATCCAACTGTAGCCTGGTCATTGAGCATGTAGGTTTTATTAGATCATGTTAAAAATCACGGAAAATTTTAATCAAATAATTCAATTGTTGTGAATTCAGATTTTGAAGGTTTTTCAGATTGCAGTTATCAAAAACAAATCTAGTGGCATGGGGAGAAATTTAAATTTACCTCTACCAAATTAAGAGATAACATGAACAAAGTTAATTGTTAAATAATAATATATAAAAATAATATATTATATAAGATACAGTATTAATTTTAGAATTTATAATTGTGCTTTGTGGTTTTTAAAACGCACATGAAGCATACTTTAATGAAGCTCTTTCATAATTTGTGTAAATTAACATTCTTAGGGAAATGAATTTAAAAGGACCTAAATTTAACAAAATCTTCAAAAGAATCATGAATAATGGAAAGATTATTTTATGAAGTTCATCTCATACAAACATATCTGAAGATAGGTACTCTGAATAGAGGCAAAAAAGAAAGTATTTGAGCTGAAAATTACATATTTTAAGATAAAAATAAAAATATTTTCTGTTTATCAGTATTTCTGTTTTATCAGTTTCAGATATGACTTACATACACATATGGAAAACATTATACATAATTTATAGTTTTAAAAAATAATATATTAAAGTATATACTTCAAAAAGTATTAGTTTACCAATATTAAAGAAAATTATGGCTGAACATTAATTGAAATATATTAACCTATGCCCAACATTTTCATTCTATGTTATTTTTGATGTTCACATTATCAATGTAGACATATCAAAATGCTTTGCCTTAATATACACAGGTTATTTATTATTTTTTAGGAATAATTTACTTTTTTAAAAATGGATTTTGAATTGTAATTTTTAATGGTTCAACAATATAAAATCTCATCCTCTAAAAAAAATCCCATGTAACTTAAAAATAATTTTATTTAAAAAGTTTATCTTCATTTTATTTGCAAGGTAGAGAGGTTAGAGGAAAAGAAATGCAGTGAGAGAGAGCCAGTGACAGAGAGACCTACTACCTACTGGCTCACCTCATAAATGGCTGCAACAGCTGGAATTGGGCCAGGCCCAACCCAGGAGCTAGGAACTTGATTCAGGTTTCCCAAGTGGGTTGCAGGGACCCAAGTAGGCGAACCATCACGTGCTGCTTTTCAGTATGTGTATTACTAGGAGGCTGGAATTGGAGTCAACCTGAACCCAGGTGTGCCACTTGAAACCAAGCAATCCATTCTGGAACGTGGAAATCACAAGGGGTGTCCTAACGATGGCGCCAATGTCTTTCCCCATATATTTGCAGTTAATTTTATTTCCCCCTTTCACATGCAAGGGTCCTCCTCTGGGCAAAACATACAGTCACATAATCAGCAGCTTAGCAGGCTTAGTAGAGGTGAGATACACTCGCTACCTGGGACTTGTAGCTTGCTTTGGGGTTAGAGGCAATCTCAACGTTCCCTCACGACCAAGCAGGATAAAGATGTCATTGAAAGAGCCCATGTCTTGCCAAAACATTCATGAGATAGATATGGAAGTAAAGGTTCCCAGCAGGAATTACTATGTGTCATATCAAGGCCAGGAACATTTATTATTCATTTCTATTGTTTCCTTCATTACTCAGGACATATCTTACAATAACACTCTTAAAATTGTTTCTTCTTCCTGTAGCGGTGGCAGGCAGTGATCTGATTGGTCAGTTTCTAGGAGGTGAATGGCAGCATGGGTGACCCGCCCCTTCCTTTCCTCTTGGGCGGAAGCTGCGCACAGGAAGTGTTCCTTGTACTCTGTTCCTCCAGGCTGTAACGTTGGCCAGTACAGCGTTTGCCTCCGCGCCATCTTGTCTCGTCTGGCGTTCCGGAAGCTGCTGGTAAGTCTTTCTAATTCTGGGGTTCAGCTTCAATAAGCGCATGGCTGGAAACCACGAGGGGAACTTAAAAAATTCAATGAAAATGTGCATCATTTTAAAATACTGCTTGTCTGAACTTTTTGAGCTCCCACGGAAATTAAAAGGAAATATTGGTGTTTTTTTTTTTGCGTTTTTAAATTGCTTTTCGGCTTTTGTGCCGTTACGTTACACTTTCTTCACATCCCAGCATCTGTGGCATAGCGTAGAGATAAAGAGAAAATGGAAAGGAAAGGAATTGTACGTCACAATGTGATTTGCAGAGTTTTAAAACTCTGATAATCAGGCCGGCGCCGCGGCTCACTAGGCTAATCCTCCGCCTAGCGGCGCCGGCACACCGGGTTCTAGTCCCGGTCGGGGCGCCGGATTCTGTCCCGGTTGCCCCTCTTCCAGGCCAGCTCTCTGCTGTGGCCAGGGAGTGCAGTGGAGGATGGCCCAGGTGCTTGGGCCCTGCACCCCATGGGAGACCAGGAAAAGCACCTGGATCCTGGCTCCTGCCATCGGATCAGCGCGGTGTGCCGGCCGCAGTGCACCGGCCGCGGCGGCCATTGGAGGGTGAACCAACGGCAAAGGAAGACCTTTCTCTCTGTCTCTCTCTCTCACTGTCCACTCTGCCTGTCAAAAAATAAATAAATAAATAAAAAAAATAAAACTCTGATAATGGCTCTGGCGGGGCGTGGCTCAGGCGGGGCGTGTTAAGCTTTGGTAGAGTTGGTATTTTGAGCTGTAGTTGTGGCTTATAACAACTTTGTCCACGGGAGCCAGGAAGACTGGCTGTTTCTGTATAAGCAAATGTTTTGTTCCTTTTTTTTCCCTGTAGACGCAGGTTTGTATGTCAGGGCTGTAAACAAAGGCAAGCAAGCTCTGAAGGGCTCCACACGCAAAATCTGATCAGGAGGGCTGAGACATCCTTATCACGTGGATCATAATTATATACTTGCTATTGCTTGTCCTTGAAATCTGCAGATGTATGTTTTTCTGAGTTACATTTTCTGAGACTGTGGTTTGATGATAGTGTCCTTTTGGGTTCCAGCCTTTTAGGCACTGAAGTGTTTCTTTCATGTCCAGCAGTAGCTGCACACGGTATTTAGTGCCAGGACTAGGTAGGTGGTGTACACAGTCTCTCAGATTATGATCTTTTCTATTCTGACTCCTTTTTGGAGTCAAGGGAGGGATCTGTGGAGGGACAAATCTTGAGTCCTGTGACGTGACTGTAGTTTTAAGAGTTGCTCTGACCTCTTGATCTCAAGTTGGCTTTGAATTTGAAAATTCTTTATGCTCTGGTGATAATTTTTATCATTGAGATACAAACTGTGACTTCATCCAATGAGGTGAATAAGTATCTTAGATTATGAAGATGAATATCAATGTTAAAAAGAGCACCCCATGGGAGACCAGGAGAAGCACCTGGCTCCTGCCTTCAGAGCAGCGCGGTGCGCCGGCCGCAGCGCACCAGCCGTGGCGGCCATTGGAGGGTGAACCAACGGCAAAAGGAAGACCTTTCTCTCTGTCTCTCTCTCTCTCACTTATCCACCTCTGCTTGTCAAAAAAAAAAAAAAAAAAAAAAGAGCAAAGACAGTTCCTGTAAAGAGCATATATTGTCTTCATAAATTGAGGTTCAGAAACAGTTAAAGAAAATCACTGCAAAAAATGTGGCTAATAAGTCAATTAAAAAACTCATTATTGAAATGTTTGGTTCTAGCATTCAGTTTTGCATAGGAATTTGAGAGGTTTTTGAGTAGTTGAAACCAGATGTATTAGTATTAATATGAAGAAATGAAAAAATGGAACCAAAGCATAAAATAGGTTAGAGCTGGAAGAAAAGATTTTTGGGAAACAGTTTGAGAAATTAGGGGACAGATTTATCAGAAGTGACATAGAAAATGAAATTTGAAGTAGATATCTACTTCTGTAAGAGAGAAGTGGTGAAAAGGGATCTAAATGCTGTACAGGAAAATATCACAAAAGGGAGAGATGCTGTTACTAGATTGAAACAGAAGCCCGTGTCCAAATTAATCAAAAGAGGAGGGATGATAGGAAACAATCTAGAGTTCACAGGTAAATTAAACATTAAAGGCAATTAGAACCACATCCAAAAGATTGGGAAAGACTAGGAAGTATAATACACAAGTATCATTTGTGATTTGCAAAGTAATATAGCCATTACAGGGTTGTATATAGATGCATTTTGTGTTTGGAAGGAATGTATCCAATTAGGAGTCAAGACATTCAGGACAGTCAGGTTCAAGTTTGGATGTGCTGAGTACTGGTTTGATGGGAGGAGTTCCTTCATAGAATTACCCATCCCAGGGTAGTGAAAGAAGCTGGAAAAAAGATTTGTTTGAATAGTAGATATTCAGAAACTCAGAATTCAGTAATTTCATTGTTACTGGTAAAGAATATTCTAGAATTTAAGAAATAAAGAAGTTTATTACAAAAAAATTGCCTAGAAAAAATTACAAATGTGGCAAATACTCAATTTCCAGTATACAGCCTTGTTATATATAATATATAATACATATATAATTACATAATGCATTATATATAAGAGTAAATTAATAAACAGGTTAAGTAATTAGAAACTAAACCTTAGTAGATTAGTTAAAAACTCAGCTCAAACTTCCTGAAAGATGTAGGAGGAGGATAGAAGAAAATAAAAACTAGAGGCACACTTCATTGCACAGAAAAATATGCAGCAGAAAAAAAATACTGTTCAAGGTCCAAACAATTCAGTGATGAAAGACAGTGCCTAAGGGAGCACAGAGGAGAGGAATTAGTTCTCACTGAGCCCCTTGGGGCTCAGGCTTCAGACCCATCAATTGCAGGTTCAGTTCAAGAATCTGCTGAGAGTGATTTGCTAGCTAAAACAAATGGGATAAGATAGAAACCCTCCCTAAGAGGCAAGTGTCACTAGGATAGTGTTTCCATAGCGAGAGGCAGTGGAAAAGAGTCACTTTGGCATAGGATTGAACATGTCTGCTCAGGGAAGACAGTAGGTCTTGTAGGTTTTGTAAGATGAGTCCACTTCCAGCAGCACTGGATTTCCAGAAACTGAAGAAGCAGGGAGTAAATGGACACAAAGAGGTTTTTATACAGGTTGTACAGGAAGAAATACACTTTAAGTAAAACTGATGCTTGTTTTTTTTTTTTTTTTTTTTTTTTTAAGATTTTGTTTATTTGAGAGGTGAGTTGCAGACAGAAAGAGGAAGACGTGGAGAAAGGTCTTCCATCACTGGTTCACTCCCAAATGGTTGCAATGGCTGGGGCTGGGCTGATAAGCCAGGAGGTAGGAGCATCTTCTGGGTCTCCCACAATTGCAGGGGCCCAAGCACTTGGCTCATCTTCCCCTGCTTTCCCAGGCCATAGCAAAGAGGTAGATAGGAAGAGGGGCAGCCAGAACATGAACTGTCACCCGTATGGAATGCTTGTACTGCAGGCCAGGCCTGGCCCACTAGGCCACAGCATAGGCCCAAACAACTGATGATCTTGATTGAAATTTTTGAAATTTTCTTCAAGACAAGGGTGTCTCAAATGTCAGTCTCTGAGAAAAAATATGATAAGTTCATTTTTTACCAGATATGATGAATCCATTGTGTCAGAATAAACATACTGATAGGAATTTGCTAGATTATGTGCTATTCACATAAACTGACAAGCACCTTAGTGAGGCTGAAACTAATGATATTTCTGTATTCCCAGCTTTCCTGAGATGCCATTCAGATGTGGTTTCTAAGAACACAGTGTTCTTTGGACTTACAGCTGTTCTAGGATCTGGGAGTGGCTTGTATTTAAATTTCATTTTGCTAAGCTTATTTATTTTATTACTGTTTTTGAATCATACCTTCATATATTTGAAACACTAAAATACTATTAGTCTTGTCTCTACCTATTTCTACTCACTACTTGTTGAATTCTTTATTCAGTGGAAAGTTAAGTTTGTGGTTATAAAGTAAATTGAAAGTATATTATTATAAAAATTAAAACAAGTAGGAGTGTGGGAATGAGGAAGGGAGAGGAGGATAGGTCGCGCAGTATCATTATGCTCTTAAAATTGTGTATATGAAATACATGAAATGTGTTCCCTTTATATAAATTAAAAAAAATTGACCTTAGCTTCCTCCCTCTGTCTCTTTCTCTCTCACATAAGTGTGTGTATTTATACATACCTCTTATTAATGTTTTAAACCAGGGATGGGAAACATTTTTATGCCACCATGTGAATATTTATGACATCATTCATAGGCCATACAAAATTATCAACCTAAAATTAATCTGCTATAGATTTATTGAATTTTGAGTTTTGCCTGTGGGTGCCTTGGGGCCAGAACAAATTATTTCATGGCCTTATGCAACCTTTGGGCCAGATGTTCTCCATCCCTGCTTTAAACCATTTGATTTTTTTATAATAAGTGTTGTGTTGTTTATGTAAGTAAATGGCACGTACTCAAAACTAACAACAAAAATTGTAATGTAGTAAATACATAAACCAGTAATAGTGTTATCAAGTCTTGGCTACTACACATAATTGTATTGCTTCACATTTCTATATGGTAACATGGTAGATTTGTTTATATCAGTATTACCACAAATGAGTGAAACTTTGTTTGCTGTATGATCTTATAATGGCTTCAACAATACTAGACAATAGGAATATAGAAATTTGTCGTCTCTGTTACAATTATATGGGATTGTCAGCATATATGAGATCTGTTCTTGAGTAAAATGTCATTATGTGGTTCATGACTATATTTTGCAAATGTTCATTCTGTCATGTTTCAAACTTCTGAGATAAAAATTCCAATCATGATCATTTAGAAATAGACTCAAAAATATTTTAATTTCTAAGTAGTAGGAACAGAACCAGGCAAATTTGGCTTCATTGTCAGAACTAGATAGGTAAAACATTTAATAGGGTCTGATATTCTATTTATACATTTTCTGACATTCTTTAAATGCAGATACAT